CTCTGCTTGTGTCAAGAGTGCTTTGTGCAGCCAGAGAGCTAGCTGAGACAAAGCATGAGCATGGCACCAGTCTATGTATTGAGAGTTATCTACCTTCATTTATTGGCATTAAATGAGGTCAAACAACAGACACACAGTGAAATGACAAGAGCCAAATATTTCTGAAAACTCTAATTAGATTTGGGTTTGTTTCTTTCAATAATTTCAAAAACTTCAAGAGTGTTATGAAATTAATGTGACATCAACAATAAATTGCTGGTATCTGTGTTCAAGCAAAGGATAAAACACTAAACATAGGCGAGTGAATCCCAATTTCCACGTCATGGTAAACAGCTTCTGGAAAGAACCCAGTGTGTAACAAGGGAAAAACAATTTGTCACTAACATTTGACTGAAAGAGTTTCTGTTCCAACAGAGTACTTAATCCTTCAACACAGAGATTAACTGAGCTAGTGAGATGACGAGCAGATGTATACACATGCATACACACACAGATGAACAGATGTATACACATACATACACACACAGATGAACAGATGCCCACAGACATACATACACACACAGATGAGCAGATGTATACACATACATACACACACAGATGAACAGATGTATACACATACATACACACACAGATGAACAGATACACACAGACACACACATACACACACAGATGCAAAGATACCCACAGACATACATACACACACAGATGAGCAGATGAATACACACACATACACACACAGATGAACAGATACACACAGATACACACAGACACACGCAGATGAACAGATACACACAGACACACATACACATACAGATGAGCAGATACACACAGACACACACATACACACGCAGATGAACAGATACACAGACACACATACACACACAGATGAACAGACACACACATACACACACAGATGAACAGATACCCACAGACATACATACACACGCAGATGAACAGACACACACATACACACACAGATGAACAGATACCCACAGACATACATACACATACAGATGAGCAGATGTATACACACACATACACACACAGATGAACAGATACCCACACACACACATACACACACAGATGAACAGATACACACAGACACACACATACACACACAGATGAACAGATACACACAGACACACACATACACACACAGATGAACAGATACCCACAGACAGACATACACACGCAGATGAACAGACACACACATACACACACAGATGAACAGATACCCACAGACATACATACACATACAGATGAGCAGATGTATACACACACATACACACACAGATGAACAGATACCCACACACACACATACACACACAGATGAACAGATACACACAGACACACACATACACACACAGATGAACAGATACACACAGACACACACATACACACACAGATGAACAGATACCCACAGACATACATACACACACAGATGAACAGATACACACAGACACACACATACACACACAGATGAACAGATACCCACAGACACACATACACACACAGATGAGCAGATACACACAGACACACACATACACACGCAGATGAACAGATACACACAGACATACATACACATACAGATGAGCAGATGTATACACATACATACACACACAGATGAACAGATACACACAGACACACACATACACACACAGATGAACAGATACCCACAGACACACATACACACACAGATGAGCAGATACACACAGACACACACAGACACACACAGATGAACAGATACCCACAGACATACATACACACACAGATGAACAGATACACACAGACACACACATACACACGCAGATGAACAGATACACACAGACACACACATACACACGCAGATGAACAGATACACACAAACACACACATACACACAGATGAGCAGATGTATACACATACATACACACGCAGATGAACAGATACACACATACACACACAGATGAGCAGATACCCACAGACACACATACACACACAGATGAGCAGATGTATACACACACATACACACACAGATGAACAGATTTATACACATACATACACACACAGATGAACAGATTTATACACATACATACACACGCAGATGAACAGATACACACATACACACACAGATGAGCAGATGTATACACGTACATACACACACAGATGAACAGATACCCACAGACACACATACACACACAGATGAGCAGATGTATACACATACATACACACACAGATGAACAGATGTATACACGTACATACACACACAGATGAACAGATACCCACAGACACACATACACACACAGATGAACAGATGTATACACATACATACACACACAGATGAACAGATACCCACAGACACACATACACACACAGATGAGCAGATGTATACACATACATACACACGCAGATGAACAGATTTATACACATACATACATACACACACAGATGAACAGATACCCACAGACACACAGACACACACAGATGAGCAGATGTATACACATACATGCACACACAGATGAACAGATACCCACAGACACACATACACACACAGGTGAGCAGATGTATACATATACATACACACACAGATGAACAGATGTATACACGTACATACACACACAGATGAACAGACACCCACAGACACACATACACACACAGATGAACAGATGTATACACATACACAAACAGATGAACAGATACCCACAGACACATATACACACGCAGATGAACAGATGTATACACATACACACACAGATGAACAGATACCCACAGACACATATACACACGCAGATGAACAGATGTATACACATACACACACAGATGAGCAGATGTATACACAGACATACACACACATATACATTTCCATGTCAGATATTCCATATAAATGTATTCTGAATCACAGTCTGAAATCCCGTTCAATAGGTATTGCTCCATTGGAAAGGAATGTACATAAAAGGTGTATGTATAAACAAGATGACAAAGACAAATAAAACACCCGAATAAAATGGAAGCTAAAATACTCTGTTATTAATTACAGACAGAAAATGCTTACAGAACTCGCATCAGGCAACAATCATTGTGAAGCACCTTTCTTATCTTAAGAATTACGTTTTCTTTGAAATCAATCTGCAACAAAAACAAACATTCATCCCACCAATAACTACTGCCATCATGGCATCATCAACCTGTCAGACATATAAATGATTCTACTTCCAAACTCACAAAATGTACAGCATCCAATACCATGACAATATGCATCACATCCCCACATTTTCTCAAAAAGCTGTTAGTCGTAAGAGCACCATTATGAATGAATATTCTTCTCATTATTGCAATATATCCTCCCTTAACATTTCACAACATTATCTCAGATAAATGGAAGAAGCCCCCATTCTACATGTTCTATGAGGGATTGGGTATTTAACCAAACGAACCTTCAGTCATGCTGGAAATTATTCTTTTGGCAACATAAAAAACATTTTAACTGAATTTTGATAATTTCAGTATCTGTAAATCAACTTAACATTATCTGATGAACTAAAGTCATCATGGTCCTACATCTGTGAGGTTCCTCATCTGAAACCTTACTTCCTCCACAAAATGAAGGATAGTCTGGTGGAGAGGCCACCATTTCCCTTCTGATGTTCTTTGTTAATCTAACAAGTTCCCTTCCTCCACAAGATGAAGGATAGTCTGGTGGAGAGCCCACCATTTCTCTTTTGATGTTCTCTGTTAATCTAACAAGTTCCCTTCCTCCACAAGATGAAGGATAGTCTGGTGGAGAGGCCACCATTTCTCTTTTGATGTTCTCTGTTAATCTAACAAGTTCCCTTCCCCTACAAGATGAATGATAGTCTGGTGGATAGGCCACCATTTCTCTTTTGATGTTCTCTTTTAATCTAACAAGTTCCCTTCCTCCACAAGATGAAGCATAATCTGGTGGAGAGGCCACCATTTCTCTTTTGATGTTCTCTGTTAATCTAACAAGTTCCCTTCCCCTACAAGATTAAGGATAGTCTGGTGGAGAGGCCACCATTTCTCTTTTGATGTTCTCTGTTAATCTAACAAGTTCCCTTCCCCTACAAGATTAAGGATAGTCTGGTGGAGAGGCCACCATTTCTCTTTTGATGTTCTCTGTTAATCTAACAAGTTCCCTTCCTCCACAAGATGAAGGATAGTCTGGTGGAGAGGCCACCATTTCTCTTTTGATGTTCTTTGTAAATCTAACAAGTTCTCTTCCTCCACAAGATGAAGGATAGTCTGGTGGATAGGCCACCATTTCTCTTTTGATGTTCTCTGTTAATCTAACAAGTTCCCTTCCTCCACAAGATGAAGGATAGTCTGGTGGAGAGGCCACCATTTCTCTTTTGATGTTTTCTGTTAATCTAACAAGTTCCCTTCCCCTACAAGATGAATGATAGTCTGGTGGATAGGCCACCATTTCTCTTTTGATGTTCTCTGTTAATCTAACAAGTTCCCTTCCTCCACAAGATGAAGGATAGTCTGGTGGAGAGGCCACCATTTCTCTTTTGATGTTCTCTGTTAATCTAACAAGTTCCCATCCACTACAAGATGAAGGATAGTCTGGTGGAGAGGCCACCATTTCTCTTTTGATGTTCTCTGTTAATCTAACAAGTTCCCATCCACTACAAGATGAAGCATAATCTGGTGGATAGGCCACCATTTCTCTTTTGATGTTCTCTGTTAATCTAACAAGTTCCCATCCACTACGAGATGAAGCATAATCTGGTGGATAGGCCACCATTTCTCTTTTGATGTTCTCTGTTAATCTAACAAGTTCCCATCCACTACAAGATGAAGCATAATCTGGTGGAGAGGCCACCATTTCTCTTTTGATGTTCTCTGTTAATCTAACGAGTTCCCATCCACTACAAGATGAAGCATAATCTGGTGGAGAGGCCACCATTTCTCTTTTGATGTTCTCTGTTAATCTAACAAGTTCCCATCCACTACAAGATGAAGCATAATCTGGTGGAGAGGCCACCATTTCTCTTTTGATGTTTTCTGTTAATCTAACAAGTTCCCATCCACTACAAGATGAAGCATAATCTGGTGGAGAGGCCACCATTTCTCTTTTGATGTTCTTTGTAAATCTAACAAGTTCCCTTCCTCCACAAGATGAAGGATAGTCTGGGGGATAGGCCACCATTTCTCTTTTGATGTTCTCTGTTAATCTGCCAAGTTCCCATCCACTACAAGATGAAGGATAGTCTGGTGGAGAGGCCACCATTTCTCTTTTGATGTTCTCTGTTAATCTAACAAGTTCCCATCCACTACAAGATGAAGGATAGTCTGGGGGATAGGCCACCATTTCTCTTTTGATGTTCTCTGTTAATCTAACAAGTTCCCTTCCCCTACAAGATGAAGCATAATCTGGTGGAGAGGCCACCATTTCTCTTCTGATGTTCTCTGTTAATCTAACAAGTTCCCATCCACTACAAGATGAAGCATAATCTGGTGGAGAGGCCACCATTTCTCTTTTGATGTTTTCTGTTAATCTAACAAGTTCCCATCCACTACAAGATGAAGCATAATCTGGTGGAGAGGCCACCATTTCTCTTTTGATGTTCTTTGTAAATCTAACAAGTTCCCTTCCTCCACAAGATGAAGGATAGTCTGGGGGTTAGGCCACCATTTCTCTTTTGATGTTCTCTGTTAATCTAACAAGTTCCCATCCACTACAAGATGAAGGATAGTCTGGTGGAGAGGCCACCATTTCTCTTTTGATGTTCTCTGTTAATCTAACAAGTTCCCATCCACTACAAGATGAAGGATAGTCTGGGGGATAGGCCACCATTTCTCTTTTGATGTTCTCTGTTAATCTAACAAGTTCCCTTCCCCTACAAGATGAAGCATAATCTGGTGGAGAGGCCACCATTTCTCTTCTGATGTTCTCTGTTAATCTAACAAGTTCCCATCCACTACAAGATGTACTATATTGAAGTGGAGAATGTACATCTCTCTCCTGAGGTTCTCCCTTAATCAAACAAGTTCCCTTTCCCCTAAAAATATAGAGGATATTTCATGTGTCATGTGAAATATCATGTTTCTCCTATCGTGTGACGGGGGGAAAGAGGACATACTTTCATGAGTGGCATAGGCACGAGTAAAAAGATATCTGTTTTCCCCTTTATACTTTAAAAGTAGTTCTGAGTTTGCAAAATCTTAAATATATAAAAGTTATGAAGAATTATTATAGGTCACTAAAACTCTTATATACAAAATCAATTTAAAAACTATTCTTGAAAACTAGGAGACCGCTGTTGGAAGCAAAGGAATACACGCTGTTCAAGTTACAAAAATGGCGCTTTGCAAAATGACGAGTTAAATGCGAAATTTACAGTTTACAACAAAACATTTTCAAGAGAAAAACAAACGTCAGGAAGCGATGTATGCCAAATTGGAACGTCAACAGTTTGTGTACGGGCAAGACACTTAAGATAATGGGAGACAATTTGTGGGGAGGTAGCTCTTGCATGACAATAGTTCCATTAAAGTGATATGTCCACTGCAGTGAAATATTAAGTGTTATGTTCACAGCAGTGAAATATCAAGTGTTATTTGAAAATATCACTTTCCTCAAATTCAGAAAACTCAATTCTTTCACATTGAAGTATATGATAAGGACTATAATCTAGTTGAGACAGCACCATCTTTCTCCTGGGTGCCTTGTTTCAGCAGTTCCTTCTCATTCACCGTCTCAGTAAGTTCTGCAGAATGCAGCTTCTCTCCCTCAATGTCGTCAATGGTGTCTGGCAGCTGTTGAAGGTGGGTTTCAGGCAACATTATGGCCAAGATGCCTGAGATTAGCATCATCACACCGAACACAATCACTGGCACAGACTCAGAGGTGTAGTGACCCTGCAAAAGAATATCAAGAAGTATCACTGCACTGAAGTTCACCTGGTGTTTGTACTCCAAGAGTGACACATCAATGTTGGTGGTAGTCATACCTGCAGCAAGGTGGAGTGAGTGAGCTAATGTTGTTCATGCCCAAGACGTTTTTTGTTTCATCAATTGCTTCTTTTCACAGAGGTGGGGACTTTTTCATCAATTACTAGATGTGTGCAAATAATCCGCAAGGCCATGAATATTTTATACATGAATAATCTGACATGTACCCTTTGTGATCAACCTGTCACAAATATCAATAAGTAAACCTCATCACACTTTGCAGTCACGCACATGATCGTGAGAACTACATAGAATCTTCAAACTATAACAAATATGACTTAACAAGTCAAAGTATGGCATTTATGATATATGTATCCATTCTCTGTCAACTTAAGTTTGTTTCAAGGCATCAATAGCGGTAATCTCACCTTGGTTGCTGTCAATAACAGTGAGTTGTGCGATCTTCCGATCGCTTTACACACGATTTTGCCGAAATTAATTAAAACAGTATTTAAAGGAATTTTTAATAAATTTTATGAAATAAGTTACAAACATAAGTACAAAGAACACTTTTTATAGCCAGACAGTGTAATTACATGATTAATTTGCGTACTTCAGTATGGATTTGTTGACATGGTTTTTACGGTGTTACGTGCTCCCGGTAATGTCTTTCCATTGGGGGGGAAAAAACATCAAAACTCATTATGGCGTGTAAAATGCGCACCCCCTTCTACACAGCTGTGTTTTTTTGGAAAAAAAGTGTGAACTATACACAAGAAAATATGGTATATCTTGAGTTACGTCACTTACGAGGCTGTTTATTTGTGGGGCAATGACGCCCCCAACTCGGGTCCAGAAGGCACAGGTTCCCATTCCAATATTTCTGCAAGCAAAAGAAGGCCACTACAGAATTCAATTTAGAATCATTTAAGACACAAGTCACAGGTTAATCATGTCAGTTCAACTCATGAATTGCCAAAGAAAGAAAAAGATCTAAATGATAACCATTGGCTTCAGTCTTGAGATAATAAACACATACCTGATGGAAGTGGGAAAAACTTCAGATAACTCAGACCTGATAACAGTGGGATACAGTCCTTACATAACTCATACCGGATAACAGTGGGATACACTTCTTAGATAACTCTTACCTGATAACAGTGGGATATACTTCTTAGATAACTCATACCTGATAACAGTGGGATACAGTCCTTAGATAACTCATACCGGATAACAGTGGGATACAGTCCTTACATAACTCATACCGGATAACAGTGGGATACACTTCTTAGATAACTCTTACCTGATAACAGTGGGATATACTTCTTAGATAACTCATACCTGAAAACGTTGGGATACGGTCCTTAGATAACTCATACCTGATAACAGTGGGATACAGTCCTTACATAACTCATACCGGATAACAGTGGGATACACTTCTTAGATAACTCTTACCTGATAACAGAGGGATACAGTCCTTAGATAATTCATACCTGATAACAGTGAGATACAGTCCTTACATAACTCATACCTTATAACAGTTGGATACACTTCTTAGATAATTCATACCTGATAACGGTGGGATACAGTCCTCAGATAATTCATACCTGATCACTGTGAGATACAGTCCTTAGATAACTCATACCTGATAACAGTGGGATACAGTCCTTAGATAACTCATACCTGATAACAGTGGGATACACTTCTTAGATAACTCATACCTGATAACGGTGGGATGCAGTCCTTAGATAACTCATACCTGATAACGGTGGGATACACTTCTTAGATAACTCATACCTGATAACAGTGGGATACACTTCTTAGATAACTCATACCTGATAAGGGTGGGATACAGTCCTTAGATAACTCATACCTGATAACGGTGGGATACACTTCTTAAATAACTCATACCTGATAACAATGGGATACACTTCTTAGATAACTCATACCTGATAACAGTGGGATACACTTCTTAGATAACCCATACCTGATAATAGAGGGATACAGTTCTTAGATAACTCATACCTGATAATAGTGGGATACAGTTCTTAGATAACTCATACCTGATAACAGTGGGATACAGCTCCGATGTGTACAGGAAGTACAAACTGAACAGCGCTGCCACTGCAAACCTGCCGACGATGGCAAACCCGGTGGACAGAGTGAGATGTAACTCTGAAGCTGATCAGACAGACAGCCAGTTAGGTACATACAAACTATAAACAGGCTATTAATGATGTACTGCTGATAAAACATTAAGTTCATCAAGTGAAGGAGAAACATTCACAGTCATGCACAAAGGCTCCGTTTTGAAGTGGCTGCAAGATGCCCTTCTCTTTTAAACAAATTCTTCATTATTTTGATCAGGAATGAAGTACACTGGAAGATTAGCAATAGCAGGGACAAAAAAATTGCAATTATGGAGACAGGGTACGTTTTTGTTAAACAATTAATAATTTGTTCCAGAAAAAGATCAGAAAAAATCATGTATCCTCAGTATCTACAAACACACACCCACAATTTGCTGGATGTCCTGAACATAACGTTTTGTGATGCTTATTGCTATGATTATGATGATTATGATTATTATATACTGCACTTATCCAGATACTAGTATCTGCTCAAATCAGTTCATTTGTTCCCAGACCGGTTGATCCATATGATTTCCAGTTATCGTTCTCAACTCCCTGGAAATATTCAGCCCAAGCTGCCTACAGGCAGGGTCACGGGTGGCTCTGTCATCCAGGCCACCACAATTTGAGTTGCGGCCCTTGGGCATGCCATGAACCAATGACCATGGTTTCATATCCAGGTTTGCCCTGATCATATTTACAGGTTTGTCAGCACCATATTATGATCGTTGGTGTCACCAAGACACCAAGCTGACATGTCCTAACTGGACTACTGTTCAAAGTGTCATCAAACCAAACTCACTAATTTGTCCAGTCTGTCGCAATTTAGCTGGAATACTGCTGAGTGCAGCAATAAGGTGAGGTGAAATGGGGTTTAACGTCGTGATTATTGCACTTATATAGCCATGTGCATGCACGTGTGTGGTTGTTTGTATTAGTATGGACTGATGCCGATTTTATAGTGCTAGCCTACTGAGATACCATGCCACAGTTTAAAATGAATACCCCACTCAGACTCAGAAGCAACAGGGGATAGAATCCCGAACCTTCCGCTCTCTGGTCAGACTCCCCACCACGGAGGCAGTCAAGTGCAGCAATAAACACCAAACAAACAAAAGTATGTTATTCAATGATAAGTGAAAGAGGGTACTTTCGAATATTAACAAATACTACTGATAATGAAATAATCGTTCAAGGTAATTTTGGTAAATAAATAAATGTTTTGTGTTCATCTAAAAATGGTGATGGGATGCAATAATTTATGCTTTAAAAAAATATATTGTTACACCAGAATTCTCATATTCAACATAGCGGTTGCCAGCTGGTATTTGTTATCTCTGCTTGTAGTGAAATCTACATATGTTCATTAACATCTTGAAATCAGCCATCTGCAACCCATAAATCTGACACAAATGTGACTGCTGCAATTGATGCATCATGAGATTTGTGTCAGCATGGTTTTAATTGTATCATGAGATGTCTCACAGATTTATCTGTTGGTTGTTTTATGCCACACCAAGCAATATTCCAGCTATACCAGAGCACCCTGTCAGTAATCAAATCTCATCCACACTACCCTGTGTTAATATCATGTGTAACGTTGTACACTGTTAGAGTATTATGACAAGCAAATCACTGGCCTTGACCATCTGATCCAGAAGCATAGGCAGCAGGGGCCAGTAAAAAAATCATTCCCAACTGGGAGAAAACCAGTGATATAACAGTGGCAAATACTTCTGACATAACAGTGGTAAATACTTCTTACATAACAGTGGTAAATACCTCTGCTATAACACTGGCAAATACTTCTGACATAACAGTGGTAAATACTTCTGTTTTAACAGTGGCAAATACCTCTGATATAAGAGTGGTAAATACTTCTGATATAACAGTGGTAAGTTCTTCTCACATGACAGTGGCAAATACTCCTCTTATAACAGTGGCAAATACTTTTGATATAACAGAGGTAAATACTTCTGATATAACAGTGGTAAATACTTCTGATATAACAGTGGCAAATACCTTTCTTATAACAGTAGCAAATACTTTTGATATAACAGAGGTAAATACTTCTGATATAACAGTGGTAAATACTTCTGATATAACAGTGGCAAATACCTTTCTTATAACAGTGGCAATACTTTTGATATAACAGAGGTAAATACTTCTGATATAACAGTGGCAAATACTTCTGATATAACAGTGGCAAATACTTTTCTTATAACAGTGGCAAATACTTCTGATATAAAGGTGGCAAATACTCCTCTTATAACAGTGGTAAATACTTCTCACATAACAGTGGTAAATACTTCTGATATAACAGTGGCAAATACTTTTCTTATAACAGTGGCAAATACCTCCGACTGACAGTGGTAAATACTTCTGATATAACAGTGGTAAGTTCTTCTCACATGACAGTGGCAAATACTCCTCTTATAACAGTGGTAAATACTTCTCACATAACAGTGGTAAATACTTCTGATATAACAGTGGCAAATACTTTTCTTATAACAGTGGCAAATACTTCTGATATAACAGTGGTAAATACTTCTCACATAACAGTGGTAAATACTTCTGTTTTTACAGTGGTAAATACTTCTGATATAACAGTGGTAAGTTCTTCTCACATGACAGTGGTAAATACTCCTCTTATAACAGTGGTAAATACTTCTCACATAACAGTGGTAAATACTTCTCACATAACAGCCGCAAATACTTCTCACATAACAGTGGTAAATACCTCTGCTATAACAGTGGTAAATACTTCTCACATAACAGTGGTAAATACTTCTCACATAACAGTGGTAAATACTTCTCACATAACAGTGGTAAATACCTGTGCTATAACAGTGGTAAATACTTTTGCTATAACAGTGGTAAATACTTCTGCTATAACAGTGGTAAATACTTCTCACATAACAGCTGCAAATACTTCTCACATGACAGTGGTAAATACTTCTCACATAACCATGGTAAATATTTCTGATGTAACAGTGGTAAACACTTCTGACAACAGTGGTAAATAAATATACTTCTGAAAAAGAGTTATTTTTCTCTTGCTGCCTATTGTCAAAATACAAACAAATATCTATGTGGCACTGGTGTACGGTAGATCCTTACCTGTTTTACCGGAGGGAAGGGCACCAGCAACAATGCAGGTCACAGCAGCAAGCAAGGCAAAGGTCACAACGGAATATCGACGCTTAGCACTGAAACAGTAAGTCACACCATATTGTCATGGTTATTGATCTTATTGCTGGGATCATCCCTGCAAAGTGTCTGCATCATGGGCTTTGTTGTTTCAGAGGAGATGTTACAATGTTAAAGATGAATGTACAGAAAATGTGTCACAACATAAGCTTGGGTTCGGGGAAGCAAAAAATGAGATCAGTGATCATAGTTTGTTTGTTTGTTGTTTAACGCCGCACTCAGCAATATTGGACCTATATGACAGCGGCCTGTAAATAATCAAGTCTGGACCAGACAATCCAGTGAGTGATGTTATGAGCAAAGGCTCCCCTTCTGGGTATATATGATGACAGGCCATCAACCAGGTCACCAAGTCTGACTACCTAATTCATCAGTTGCCTCATACAAGTACAGGGTGGTGAGGACAAATTTTAACCCAGAATCCCCACAGGAACACACCTGTGAAGAACAGAGTTAGATGTGGTCTTCAGCAACCCATGCTTGTCATAAAAGGCGTCTATGCTTTTTGCAAGAGGTGACTAACATGATTGGGTGGTCAAGCTCGTTGACTTGGTTGATGCATATCATCATACCCCAATTGCGTAGATCACAAACTGACAGGGACAAGTCGTCAGAAAAGGTAGACTTTGTGACATATACAATGTTTACTGACTACTTCATGATGATGATGTCAAGGAGGTAGGCGGCCATCTCAACACTGGCTCCGATGAGGAAGATGATGTACTTGTTGCCCTTCAGAGAAGTGATCCGTAAGGTCAGTCCATAGTAGCCGACAGAGACAGCCAGCCTACAACATTGAAGTAGGGAGCTCATTGATAAACACACTGATTGTACAGTGACGTGACCTTCACATTGAAACTTCAGCAATATTAGTTAACCTAAAATGTCTGATAACATTTAAAGACACCTGAAAAAGCCTGAAATTCTAGGATACCTTGGACATCTTAGATAACTCGTCCCAGCCCTAGAGTCTACATAGAGGGAGTGGGCACTCACCATAGGCAGACAAGGTGTAATACCCTTCATCTCTGTTCATTAGAACTTTGTGAAGGCGGATTCCTACAGCTATAGCTGTTTCTATAGAGTAGTGACAACTGTTATCCCTGTCGTGCAAGTGTAGCAGGGGGCGTGGAGTCATCCCACAGATGACATCCTTACCTTGTCAGCTTGCTGACGGGGTTAACCTCTTTGGTCATGTGGACAAGGCGTCCGACCTCCGATCAGAAGGTCTATGGTTCAAATCCCATCACGGTACTCGGAAATTTTATGGCCGCGACATTGGCACCCAACGTGGGACTGAGCACGTTCATATTAAATTTGAGCAAAATAAGCCTCAGTACCCTACATTGCTGCCCGGGACGTGCCTTCTGCTGATGGGGGAGTATGTAGCAGGGGGCATGGAGTCATCCCACAGATGACATCCTTACCTTGTCAGCTTGCTGACAGGGTTAACCTCTTTGGTCATGTGGACAAGGCATTCGACCTCGGATCAGAAGGTCCGTGGTTCGAATCCCATCACGTACTCGGAAATTTTATGGCCGCGACACAAAGGTTAGGTTTATTACAATGGTGTCCTACTATTCTACTGACAGGCATTGTATCGCAATAAATATGACATCAATATCGGATATATAATGTGCCAATTTCAGTTGTTTGGTGCCCCTCACATAAACATGTATTCTACACTTTGGTGTTCTGCCTCACCACTTTGAAAATTCTACAGGTTCTAGGAACTGCAACTCAACATTTTGTAACCTACATTAGCTAATTTATCACTTGAAACTGCATCACAACCATCCTTATTAAAATTAGGGGATTGTCATGTTAATCCTCTGACTGACCAATCACATATGAGTAAGTAACAATGTCATGGGGTAATTTATAACATGATTTCAGATCAGTTTCCTTACTGACTCTAATTTGGTTAATATAAATAAAGATTTCCTGTAAAAATTTGATCAAGTAATGAAAATTTCCTAATTTGTTTCAGTTGAAGTCCCTGCATCATACATTTGCATCACACCAATGTGTGAGAAAATCCCCAAAGTCATGCAGGTCATTGATGTTTACCATTTTGGTGAAAACCAAGCGTCATAAATGAGACAAATTGAGAACTTGTGACCTACAGAATAAGGCAACCAAGGGCCATAACTCTGCTGACAAGTGACTAAATAAACTTTTGCACAATATTGCATTCATATAGTTGCAACAGCAATTATGGCCAAATATATATTATTTGTACATGTGTGCTCAAAGAAAGCTTTGCCAACTGTAAAATATCAACAGCACAGAAGTAATCACTTTTGTTTTTATAAAACTGTTTGCACAAATGAAGTGAGACAGGCTATGCTTACCATTGATAGAAAAGAATTAAACTTCTTTTTCTCAGTCGTGGAGTTTTCAGGAGAGTAAGGAATGCATATTTCTGTCTGAGAGTCTCTTGTCTGCCCTCTGCAATAGCCCTCACAGACATCCAGCTTTCTCGTGGGAATTCCTTCTTGTTGAACTTGGCCATTTTCTCCACCAGCTTCTCAGCTCCATCCAGCTTCCCATACATCACCATCCAGCGTAGAGACTCAGGCATTATACTGAAAGCGTTTCCAAGATTTCACAAATACAGTGAAACATGCCTTAATTTGTGAGGAGTGAGAAAACTGTTTTATTACCTACGAGGGCAAACATATCGGGGTTCATAAAAATCACATGTCCCCTTGGATGATATCAAAAGACAACAGTGTATTGTTTCCATCATTGCTGACTTCATTCGAATCTTATTGTAACGTGAGGTCGCAATGACTTCACACAAGAAACAACGTCATAGCGGAAGATTGTTGACGTCTGCTGTTGTGACTTGTTGTTCTTTTAGATAAACACTCAAATTCGTCTCTGTATGTCAACATCTTCTTCGGTGATAAATAGAACATTTCGTGTTAATGTCATACTATGTTTACGACACTCGTGCCTAAATTCTGGTATTTACACACTCGTGTCATAAACATAATATATGACATGAACACGAATATAATGTTGTATTTATTAAGGTTTAAAGTGGCAGAGTAATGTAAACAGATGTGCCTGCATCTAAGAAATCCGTACCTGCCCCTCTGCACTATACTTTGCATCTTCCCGAGGCAAGAGAGTTAACTGACTTTAAATGTCCAGTTTCCACCCTTGCCGAACTAGCCTGGAATTACTGGGCTCAATCGTAGCGCCACCAGTGGCTATTACTAGTTATGTCCCTTCTAAGCCTCTCCTATGGACCAATCAGATTCCACCCCTCATATCACTTGCGTTTGCTTCACACAAAATGGTAGCGCTGAGTCAGGATGATCTGATCGATAATCAAGATCTATATTGTGATATAACGAGTCTAACATTGCGAAATGCATCGAACCATGTGAGCACCTTGACTAAAACATCAAAAGATTTGAAAAATACCTGCTTTGCAAATCCTACAATCGACCGAAATCTGCACGACAGTTTACGAACCGTACTTCGATTTCGGTGCACGATATTGATTGGACTATGCATAGACTCGTTAGTCCAGCCAAAATTTAACTCCATAATACCAGCCTAGTTCGGCAAGGGTGGAAACTGGACTTTTATAGTCAGTTAACTCTCTTGCCTCAGGAAGATGTATACTTTGTGACAACAAGAGATGCAGTCATACAGAGAAGGGGAAGTTTCAAAAGTTTCAGAAAAGAAAATATCAAAACAGATCTTGTCGAGTATATAACAGTGTATGCCTTGTAGAGGTTAAACTTGTACACAATTTTCTCTCTGTCTCAGGATCAGTGTGGAAACCAGTAAGAGATAAACATGGTGATTCAAGTGACCATTGAAAACTTTTGAGATGGACCCCATTGTACATCACTATTAGAAGAGATGATGATAACTGTGTTGCAACTCAAGAAGAATGAATGACAGATCCACATACTGCACCTGCACCTGCTACAGTTAGTGCACATGCCTGCCCCCTTTCGTATATTCCACATGTCAATTAATACTGTGATCGTCCCTAGCATGCAAGATGCCCACCTTACACAAATGTGTTTCCCCACATCATCAACAAATCTGTTCTCAAGTGTAATGCAGGTGAACTGTCAACCCCAAAATATCGTTGTCCTTATATGTTGGTTTCTTTTGTTTTTTGTTGTTAAAGCCGCACTCAGCAATATTTCAGCTATATGACTGCAGTCTGTATTGAGTCTGGACTGGACTAGACAATCCAATGACTGATATCATGAGCATCGATCTACGAAATTCGGATATGATGACATGCATCAACCAAGTCAGTGAGCCTGACCACCTGATCCTATTAGTCACCTCTGTCAAGCAGGGTTTGCTGAAGACCTATTCTAAACCCGATCTTCATGGGTCTGTCCTTATGTGTGACCAACAAGAGTAGCCATCATTTCCCACAACTCCACTCCTTCACTTTTGAATTCCCAATTAGATCCTTTCTTTAGTATTTGTGATACTCCTTACACCACGCAGGGATCATGATAGACTCACCATATGTAGAATGCAGCCAGCAGACTTGGCAAACAAATTGCAAGCTGTACGTATCGCCAGTCTCGGATAAGAAAGGTAATGACTGCAAGGGCCATGACGCTTGCACCCCAAAAACACTCAATGATGCCACCAGCTATTGGACGATAGGCTGGTAGAAACATCTCAGCTACTAACACATAGCTGGATATCTGGAGACCCTACAACACAGACACACACAGTGAGAGAGTGAGTGAGTTACAGTATATTTCCATGTGTTGAGTGAAATATCATGTTTCTTTCATCGAGTGACGGGGGGAAAGGTGAAAAAATATATCTCCTTTTCGTGAGATGAGAGAAACATGATATTTCACTCGACACATGGAATATCATATTTATTATATACTTTTTGTGCAATAAAACATTTCATTACAAATGTAAAACTTTGAAACTAAAATTCTCACAACCTGACAGACAGGGACGATTCACCACCCCTTGAATTTGCGACTTAAAATGAATTTTCGTATTTGCAAAATCTTAAAAAAATATAAATATGAGAAATTTACAGTTAATAACAAAACATTTTCAAGAGCATAACAAACAGACGTGCTATTAACTTCATAAATAGTCAACATTTTGTTTACAGTCCAGGGATCTACGATAAAGGGAGACAATTTGCAGGGAGGTAACTCTTGTATGACAATAGTTCCGTCAGAGTGTTATGTTCACTGCAATGAAATATCACTAAACAGTATCAGAAAATGCAGTCTTTCACACTGATATAACTGGATATCTGCAGACCCTGTAACACAAGGTGTTTGTGAGTGAGTGTGTGAGTGGGATGGGTTTAATGCAGTAGTCAAGTTATATCACGGCGTGTCAGCTTCATGTGTGAGGAAAGCCCGAAGTGATGCAGATCTTAGACGTTTACCACTTTGGTGAAACCCATGTAACACAAGGAAGAGCTACAGACATAAGTCGATATCTGAAGAGCCTGGATAATTTTGTAAAATACTTTTGATATCCGTGACCCACCATGAGATAAGGACTTTATAGGTGAAAAATCTCATTTTGACTTCTAATATTTTAAAACTACAGCATCTAAGGAACACAAAAATACAGTTAACAAGGTTTATCTTATGTCTATTACAGAGATACATGGCATCAAACATTTAGACTCCCATTATTAGATCTATAACTATTTAAGTAATAATTGCAGTTTTAGACATAATGTCTGATTAATTGAATGCAGAGATGTATGCTGAAATGTTTTGAAATAATGTGTTCATTACATTATGCACTAATGAGAGAAAAACAAGATGTACAGTCTGCAGACAGGGCCATTTTTTTTATGGAAGTAAGTGAATGACGTCACAGCACAATTGTTTCCTAGCATGGGCTTAAATTAAAGTTTTAACATGAAATAAAGGCGAAGCATGGGATTGCAAACCCTTGAGGGGGAAGAGAGGTTCCATCTTCCTGTGGCAAGGGAGTTCCCAGACTGTAAAAGTCCAGTTTCCACCCTTAGCAGGCAGGAATTTCTTGGATCGATCGTAGCACCACCAGTGTCTATTACGAGTAATTTCCCTTCTATGTCCCTACTTTTGACCAATCAGATCCATCTCTCATAATAGTTGCATTTGCTTCAAACAAATTTGTAGCACCCAGTGAAGATGATCTTATTGATAATTAAAACCTGTAATGTGTTAAAATGGGTCTTACTTCGCAAAGTGCATCAAATCATGTAAGCACCTTGATGAAAAAGATTTGGAAAATATCTGTTTACACTGACTTGGCGGTTTACATGATTTGCAAATCCTGCAATCGACCAAGGTTGAAAGAGAGACTCAGGAGGGAGGAGGGAGCTTCAGGAGGAGGGAGGGACGTTCAGGAGGGGAAGAGAGATTCTGGAGAAGGAAGGGAGATTCAGGAGGGAAGAGACCATCAGGAGGGTGGAGGGAGCTTCAGGAGGGAGGAGGGAGCTTCAGGAGAAGGAAGGGGCTTCAGGAGGAGGGAGGGACGTTCAGGAGGGGAAGAGAGATTCTGGAGAAGGAAGGGAGATTCAGGAGGGAAGAGACCATCAGGAGGGTGGAGGGACGTTCAGGAGAGGAAGAGAGATTCTGGAGAAGGAAGAGATTTTCAGGGGGGTGGGAGGGAGCTTCAGGAGGAGGGAGGGACGTTCAGGAGAGGAAGAGAGATTCTGGAGAAGGAAGAGATTTTCAGGGGGGTGGGAGGGAGCTTCAGGAGGAGGGAGGGACGATCAGGAGAGGAAGAGAGAGAAGGAAGAGATTTTCAGGGGGGTGGGAGGGAGCTTCAGGAGGAGGGAGGGACGTTCAGGAGGGGAAGAGAGATTCAGGAGGAGGGAGGGACGTTCAGGAGGGGGATGAGAAAGTTTCAGCAGGCAGAAGAGGGATTCAGGAGAAAAATTTAGGAGAGGGAAGAGAGCTTCAGGAATCAAATCATGTGAGCACCCCAGATTAAAAACATGAAAAATATCTGTTAACACTGACTTATCCTATCACTTCACCTACCTGTAAAAATATGCCTTCAATGAACCTGAGCACCACAAACCAGGTGTAGGACGGCACGAAGAAGATGCCAATGCCAAGAACCACTGGTGCAAACAGTGTACCAAGCATGACAGGACGTCGACCGAACTTGTCAGAGAGGTATCCGAATAACAGCCCACCAAGCATCACGCCGCAGAAGTAAATTGTTGTTGCAAGTGGTCGCAGGTAGCTGTCATCACATACAAGGTCCCACTGGTGAAAGGGAGAGAACTCATGTTACTAAATGCAAAGAATCGTGTACCAGATTTGCTCTTTTCTAAAATTGGTTGGTTGGTTGGTTTGTTGTTTAACACCGCACTATATGATGGCGGTCTGTAAATAGTCGAGTCTGGATCAGACAATCCAGTGATTAATATCATGAGCATTGATCCATGCAATTGGGATCGATGACATGCATGAACCAAGTCAGCGAGCCTGACCACCCGATCTAATGTGAGTAGATTACTGAATGTAGTAAACAAGCTAGTTACATGATAAATCAACACCATGCTAGTATTGTCCCATTCAAATTCACGTGAATCTATACATTCCCAATCAGTAAAGGTCAACCATAAGGATGATTCTGTGGGTATTTCAAATTTATCTACAAGTCCCCCCTCCCCTCCAAATGTCTATTCTACATGATGTCAATGTTCCTCTATTTCATTGATGACAATATCCTACAGTAAAGGGATGATCGTCTCCTTTACAGTAATTGGTGTGTGTTTATAAATAGTTTAATGCCACATTCAGCAATATTCCAACTGTATGACAGCAGCCTGTAAGGAATTCAATAGGGACCAGGCAATCCAGTGACTTATATTGCAAGAAACGATTATATCATTAGGGTAAAATGATTGAGTCACTGAGTCTTACATGCAGACAGTGTTTTGAAAACTATCATGACTATTTTCTGCACCCGTGATTTTATAAGGGTGTGCATTGTTTTTAAAAGGCAAGAGTGAACGCCCTTTGAAAACTAGAATGTTTTTCTGTTGTGTGAAGGGAAATGTTTTAAGAGTATTTAATCTTCCATTTGGTAGAGACTATTTTTGAAGGGGCATTTTGTGCCTTTAATTTCCCGAAGTAATGTCTGAAGCATCATTTATTATTTCTGAGTTTTGTTTATTTACAGAATATTCCCTTGTAAAGCTAGCACCACATGGTGCACCTGTCAACTTACATCACATTACATCAAAAAGGGATATTAGAAGACATCCTCTGCAGGCATTGTTCATTCAAAACAGACAGCTTGGTAATTGTAATTTCAAACTAAACAAATGTACTGCTGTGACAACAGAATACTTATTTTGACAGTATTCTAGATTAATATAGCATTGTTTCACTTAACGCAGGAATACTTCCCATCCCCGATTTTCATCCTAAACACTCCCCATGCAGGATTTTCATCCTGAAAACTTCCCATCCACAATTTTCATCCTGAACACCATTTGTGATATTTATCATGAACACTTCCCATTTGCTATATTCATCCTGAAATTCTCAAATTTCATGCCAAACATCCGTGACTTTCATCCTGAACATCCTATTTTCATATTTGGTGCAACACATTACTTACTACGTTCCCACAAAAACATCAAAGGGACTGCAACATCAGTTGTTTAATTTTTTCATCATAACATGTTGCAATCAACAGAATGTCCTTGATGTTGGTTTGTGTAGCCAATGTTTTGTAGATTAATAGCTCAACTCTATAAATTGTGCTCATGGCTCTCCAAACAATATGTTGAGAGCCATGATGACTAAGAGTTTTAAGGCAAGGCGAAACACTAAGTTACACATAAGACAAGAAGACCATAGAGGTGCTTGCAGGAACTTGCACAAGCATAAGCAGGCCCTTCGCCACCATTTACCCTAATCTTAACATACCACTATGCACTTCCAATCCGAAAACATTACTCAGAGCGCCAGATAAGCTTTTGGTGTTGTGGGTATTTTACCCATGCATTTTAAAATCATTGGGTATCAGTAATTCTATCTGGGTATTCAAATTTCTGTTACCCACTAGTTTTTACACATGTGGGTATTTAAGTTAAATATTTAAAAACACTATTCATCTAGTCCCTGCAAACTGGTGTTGTGTGGGTTCCACAGCTTTATAGGACTCAAAAATACCACGATACTTCCACAAGAAAGTGTGATGGCAAATGATCATGATGTAACTGTCATCTTGGAGTTTGGCAAGGTTGACGGAATGCCCGTTTATAATTTCAAATTAAATTTGCTGATTTGCTAATCGAATACACAGGGTTACTTCACAATATTTTGATGATACGCACAAGTTTTATTTTTTAGCGTATCTGTAATGTTCGTTGCGTATTTGATACGCTTGGATTTTATTTTACTATGTATTTCTGCATTTCTAATGCGTATTTTACGCAGATACGCAGCTTATCTGGAGCTCTGATTACTTGTAAACCTTTACCTTAAGGGTGGAAACTGGACTCTTAAAGTCAGTTAAAGGGCAAGTTCACACGGAAATGAACCTAATTTTCTTGTACTTTTTCCACAATAAAAGTGTTAACCTAGAAGTGTCATAGACAAAAATATAAAAATATCACAATTAATTAACATATGTTTTGCATTAAAACGATTTATATTTTTCACATTTACCAAGTGTTCTATTTCCATAACAAAAACACCATGGCTTATGCCCCTTGCAATATGACGTCATTGGTGCCAATTGATAAACATTATGACGTCATCATGCTTTGTTAGAGCCGCTTCACGTGGTGTAGGTCTAGGTGTGTGATTCTAGCGTCTCAGATGCCAGCCAGCATAGTGTAATGCTGAGTCACCACTGCGCCGGAGTGTGTCGTAGGCCATGTTGTTTTACCGAAAACTGGTACTTGATATCTTTTGCGTTCAGAATAGACAGGGACCCAGTTGAACTGGCACCAAATACGTCATAATCTAAGGGGGATAACTCAGGCCTGTTTAGCTCGAAAAACGAAGGCCTCATAACGGCATATCATTTTCACACAATTGTGAGCTTCCTACTTTCACTGTGAAAAAAATGAGTGTATATTTTCAAACACAGATACTAACTAATTCTAAAATTGCGTTTTGTTTAGAAAAAGTAAGAAAGTGATTTTTGCGTGTACACTTCCCCTTTAAGTCCCTTGCCTCTGGAAGATGTCTCCTACCCTCTCTTACACAGCCCATTCAAGATATTGCATATGTTTTTCAACTGTTTCATTTTTTATGAGCCTTCACATTTAGCTTTCATTACAACTTTCATTGAGAATATACCCTTAAACATGAACAACTATTTTATTTGAGTATTTATCCTCCACATGCTATCACTTTGATGTGTAAAGCCATATTATGCATCTCACTTTCGCAGTTGTATTCGTGTAATGGTAATTTGATATTTCAGTTTGTGCAACAACAACAGTACTTACTCGTGCATATTTGACCTACCACAATATTAAGCTACCCATTAGTTTCTTATGGTGGAGAGGGGACAGTGACGAGCTAGAAGTCAGCGTAATCAGATTAATATTCTCGACACCGCACACCCCGATGAAAACGTGGATAGCCTCGAAGCCCGCCCCAATGCTGACAGTTCTAGATGCAATACAGTGTTACCTTGCAGTCAACTATATCTTACAGTGGCCGAGTTACGAAAACGACTGACGGAACATGGCGTTAGGGTACCGAATAATTGGGCCTACCGGATCACCACAGCCATGAAGTGATGTCCAATTCTCTGCCACACATTCACTCTGTCGCTGCAGCTCTCAAGAAGAAGATGAAAGACGGCAAGTATTGCAACCTTGCTTTGCTATTATTTACACAACCAAGACACTTTAGGCGCAAGAATAGCGGAATATGATGGCAATGTCTACCAACTGAAAGAGGATGTTAGGGTAAATTGTGCACTGACCCTAGCCAAAATTCATTGAAGCTAACATTTTTCCCTTTCCTCATGCCCACAGAAAGCATGTCTGCAGATATTTAATGCTCCCTTTGTGCAAAGGTATCAGTTATGACCCATGAAGATCCAAGGTAGAATAGGTCTTCAACAACCCATGCGTGCCATAAAAGGCGACTATGCTTGTCAAAAGAGGCGACTAACAGGATCAGGTGGTCAGGCTTGCTTGCCAATGGTGAACATTGAATTTGTTTAACTGGTTTGGTTCTGATTTCTTATATTGCTGCCATTGTTAAACAAATCTTTACTCTGGAGTGCGATAATCCAGATGTCACCCCTCTGCAGATGCTAACTAAGTGAGTTGTCACCTGTCATTTTAGCCGAGACCCGTGAAGTTCTGGGATAGGGTAGGTCTTCAGCAACCCATGCTTGCTGTAAAAGGCGACTATGCTTGTCGTAGAGAGGCAACTAACAAGATCGGGTGGTCAGGTTCGCTGACTTGGTTGATGCATGTCATCATATCCAAATTGTGTGGATCAATGTTCATGATGTCAATCACTGGATTATCAGATCCAGACTTGATTATTTACAGACCACCCTCATATAGCTGGAACACTGCTGAGTGCAGCGTTAAACAACAAACATATAACATGTTCTTGAGCCTGTACAGGGTCAAGACTACATCCCATTGACTACTGTTACCTCTGTGACAATGTTGGTCTCCCGCTCCTCCACCATGTAGGTCCAGTCTCCCGCACCACATGTCAGGGTGATGTTGTCGTTGTTCTCCAGCCTGAGAGTGGTCCTACACTGCCCAGCGGTCCTCCCAACAACAGTCACGTTCTGGCCTCCTTGTACGTAGACATCGCTTCCGTGCAGCGGGTCACACGAGTGGGCGGTTTTAGCCCCGAAGAAGGCCATTATAACGTGATTGAAAACTAGCGGACAGTAGTTGAGACACAGAAGAATGAAGATAATGACTTGGTATCGGCCTGGGCTGCCGAGCATGCCAATCAGCTCATCCATTTTCAGAGACAAACTTGAAACCTTGTCTTTGCTAGAATGTTGATATTTTTCCGGGACACCCATGATTGGTTAAGTGCAAGACTGTTAATGTCTGAAATTGAAACAGAAAAAGATTTAGCCATATGAACTACAATATGTGTGTATGTTACTATAATATATAGGCAACTTTTTCATGTCAATTATATCATGTCAGTCTGTCAATAATCAAGTTTGGGACAGGCAACTGACCCATTGTTAATGACACAATGAATGTAACCATGGCAATAATCTACCAGGGCACACACCATGCACAATGAACCCTCCAACTGTCATTGGACAGCTGCACCACTACCCTCGTGGTGATTCCGGCTTGGAATTGGTCCCCAGCAACCTATGCTGGTCGTTAGAGGCAAGTTAATGGATCAGTTGGTCACTCAGTGACTTGGCTGATTACACATCATCATCATCATACCCAGATGGTGTGGCTTGTTGTTCATTATACAAATCACTGGTTTCTCTGGTCCAAATTTGATTATTTACAGGTGGAGTCATCATCAATAAAGCTAGAATATTGCAGAGTGTGGCATTTAACAACAAAACAATACTTTTAGTATGGGAAAATTTAACAAAAAATGAAATCACAGATTATCTTATCCACACCAAAAGTACTTATGGATGCAATCAATGAAAGATCTGATGGAACGGTAAAATGATCAATCATGGTGCTACATCACATCACTGATTTGCAGTGCCAGTGCTCCAATGCAATGCTGTTATGCAACTATTCGCAAACATTATTTTCAAGCTGTCAGTTGTGCTGTTCAACAATTTTGAATTTTGGAACACATGAAACTATTGGGAAGGATGAAATAAATCTGAATAGCACTACCATTTTAATTCCTTCAAATGAAAACTACTGTGTTGACCAAACACAATACACTAAGCTAAGACCGAACATAATCAAATGGCAATGTATTCAGATTGGTTACAACTAATGGCTGTCTGGCCCCAGAAACCAAATTTCAGATAACAGGAACAATTAATGCAGTAAAATTACGCTGGCGGGGTCTGACTAATTCTCAACCTGGGTACTATGGCTATGGACCTGGGATACAATTAGATATCAAATTGTACCCACAGTTTTTTATTCATAATTTTTTTTCCCATGTGTAGCCAGCTACTCTTTTTGTACCCAGATGTTTGTTTGGCACTAGTTTCGCAGCGATTTCTGTTAAGGCCACATCAATGATATTGGAAACAATATCTTGCTCACAAGACACCTGCTCACAAGATATGGATGAGGTGAAATGGGGCTTAACGTCGCGTCGAAGAGTAGTGCACTTACACATCGACGTGCATGCACATCGACGTGCATCGATGTGGCTGCTTGTGCTAGTCTGGACTGATGCTGATTTATAGTGCTAGCCCACTGAGATACCATGCCGCAGTTTAACATGAATACCCCACTCAGACACAGACCCCGAGCCAACCAGTCCTTGTTTCAGCCCCTCATGGCGAGCGCCAGGCAGGGTAACAAGTACTAACAACAACTACCATCTTTTAATGTCTTTTGGTTTGATGCGGCCTGGGATCAAACCCCGGACCTTCCGCTCTCAGTGTGGACACTCTACCACAAGACCACGGAGGCGGTCCACGAGATATGGACTGAACAGGAATCATCATGAATCTAGCAGCAAGCAAGCTCTGCCCAGATAACACCACTTCGTTAGTCTGTCGATGGCTAAAGTGGGCACACAGCTGGTGGCTTATTGCTAAAACAATCTCATGTCCTTAGATTATACTAGAGAAATTGTTATATTCAGGTGGTCAAGGCACAAGGAGAGACCGTGGATACAGCTGAAGATCATCCCAGGATGAGCTTTCTGCATCTTCATTTGAGGACTGAAAAGGCTGGACCTCAGCCACTTAGCCCAAGATCAAAAATGTTTTGACGATTCAATTAACAATTAAATGAAGGTTACGTCAACTAGAATCATATAATGTCATTATGTTGATGCGATATTTATCTTTACTTTTTTCATTGCATCAGATGCACTGGGTACTCTGCTGGTCTCGATCATGCCCAATGCTGAATGTATGGGGTAAGTCCAAGAAAAATTGAAATGTTTCACATCATTAATTAGGACTTTGTGCAGGGTTCAACATTGTTGACTCCTGACTGGCAGAATGAGTGTTTGTTTTCACAACAAAAACACTTTGGTGATTTAAAATTCTTTGTCACTTAAATCCTAGCAGAAATCAAGAGAGAGAAAAACAATCACGGGTAAATTTCAAAACAAGCAAATTTCGATTTTGGAATGACAACAAAACAAAAACTAAATAGATATACCTTAAACTCTTTCTCCATAATAATATATAAATTTCACATCACAAACAATAATATTTTAGATGATATTTGCTAGCCTTTAGATAAGATGGCAATATTGACGAAAGCACCATGTTTCAACTCATTCTGTAATGTACAATGTACTCAATATATGTTTTGCAAACTGTTGATGCATGTCATTGTATCGCAATTGCATGGATCGATGCTCATGATACCAATCACTGGATTGTCTGGTCCAGACTCGATTATTTACAGACTGCTGTCATATAGCTGGAATATTGCTGAATGCGGCGTTAAACAACAAACAAACACAAATTAACAGTCACTAATACATTAAATTATGATGTGAACACACATTGTGGAAGACCTCGAAATTTGACAACTGTAGATTGTTATCACCCACATGACAACAAAATGAACAGCTGGTAAACACATCTGCTAAACGATCAATAATTGTACTGACTCATAATTCCTCCTAAAGTCGACAATTAACAGAAATACATAAATAATAATGTAATTGGTGTTTTATTTCAGTTGACAATGCACATAATCCAGTATGTTACACATATTTTAAAATATTCACAGTGGATTATTCATGTTTGAAATTTGGTATTGCCAGGATATATCTATACAATCTAGTAACATTAATTACAACATAAATCGAGTCACAAATACCGTAAATCAAATACAGTTTCTACTGTTTGAAGACGAAATATATCTGATAATTAGCAAAAGCTCATCACACGCCAAAAATTCTCACTGCTTTCGGACAAGGGAAGATTTCTCTCTTTGGAAAAATGTCCAGGAAAGACCCTGTGGTGAACCACCCATGGCCACCCATGGCCCACTGCCAACATGTTCTCTCTGGGTGGGTACCAAAAGAGAAGCTGGATACAAAAAGATATAAACATAAAACACTGGATACAAGTCGATACATCTTATTGTACCCGAGGTACATATCCATGATCCCCAGGTAGAGGACGACCCTATCAGCTAAAGTGCTTGTTTGTTTGTTTGTTTGTTTGTTTGTTTGTTTGTTGTTTAACGCCGCACTCAGCAATATTCCAGCTATATGACAGCGGTCTGTAAATAATTGAGTCTGGACCAGACAATCCAGTGATTAACATCATGAGCATCAATCCACACAATTGGGATCGATGACATGCATCAACCAAGTCAGCGAGCCTGACCACCAGATCCCGTTAGTCACCTCTTACGACAAGCATAGTCGCCTTTTACGGCAAGCATGGGTTGCTGAAGACCTATTTTACCACGGATCTTCACAGGTCTCAGCTAAAATGACAGGTGACAACTCACTTAGTTAGCATCTGCAAAGGGGTGACATCTGGATTATCGCACTCAAGGCTAAAGATTTGTTTAACAATGGCAGCCATATAAGAAATCAGAACCAAACCAGTTGAACAAATTCAAGGTTCACCATTGGTGGTGAGAAGCATGTCAAGGTTCAACTTCATCGGGCCTATGATTTCCAAGGAGATGTTTACAGTGGGAGGAAAAGTGTTTTGAAAGAATGTAGCAGCTTGGCAAAGTGCAAAGTTCAAATCAAGGTAAAAAAAATAAAATATTACAAAAATGTTATATTAGTAACTGAATATACCAAATTTGCTGTAATAAGCACACTGCTCCAATAAGCACCTCATTACTAACTTCTAGACCAACCCGTAAGTAATCTTTATAAGAGCCCCCAATAAAGACAGAACTTTACATGACAGTCCATATTTTCTGGTGTATATTACAGATTACAGCAGCCTAGAAGGGGTATACAAATGCCTTGGAGAGCTAAAGTCTTTTATCATGTTTATGAAAAGATTTAGTTTATTCACTACTGCTCAATTTCTAAAAACAAATTTAACTTGTGTATGGTTTCAATAAGTGCTATAATCATTTGCAAATTTTCTAAGAGCCTGGAGTGCTCGTTATAGCGATTACATTTCCAAATTTACTACATGTTGAACAAACAATGCTAATAAATAACTAGGAATAGTTTTTCTCATCAGGGCAATATGACCAATTCTGTATTGGATTGTTGCCCTCATCATTCTTGCAATATATAGTTCCAGCAGAAATTACAAAGAAAAAGTCAGGGATCAAGTATATGTGAACATGTGGGCATTCTCAAAAAGCAAAGGTCAAATCACTGTAAAAATTCAAAATACATGTACAGCAAACACTTGACCTGTAACTTTAGCGGTACTTCATAGTATCCATATGCCAATCTGACTTGGCATGACAATCAGGCCAGAAGCGGCTTTTCAATATGGCAGCCATAGTGGCCATATTGGAAATCGGGTCTACATTTCCTAAAAGACCTTTGGTGACATCAATGGCAGAGACATGTACGGTAAGGATTTAAGCATCACAGATACAGGGGTTTGGGAGAAGACGCACACCACACAATGGACAACCAGGCCTTACCTTAACCCACAGGTATTGGGCAATAGATAATGCAGGCAAGACTAATGTTAATGATGAAGTACAGGAGCTACTTCAAAAAAGCATTATTCTTAACTCTGCCAAAACTCATCTCTGACTATATTCTCAGAGGTGCCATAGATTTCAGTCTGCCAACAAACTACTGTTGAACCCAACAATCTACATACAAAATGTCAAATATACGATTATATATTGCGAATCGTGTGTACTTGAAGAGAGCTGGTGCGTGAATGTTCCAACTATAGACGATGGAACAAAGGAGGGATGATACTTGTGACCCCTCAGCACAAGAACTAGTGCCCCCCGCCACA